CTTATGCATATAGAACTAGGGTACAGGCCAGAGATGCAAGGTCATGAGAGGCTTCACCAGAGACAGTGGGGAGCAGAACAGGCAGATCAAGGAAACACACTGCTGAGAGGAGCAGCGGGCGGGCCAGGAGAGGTCTGCCGCGCCATGTGGTCACCTCCAGGGCAAGCAGGGATCGAACTCATGCTGAAGTGGCTTTAGCTTCTTAGTGCTGTGCTTTAACCTCACTGCGCCACCACGGGGGGGCCTAAACCCCAATTCTTTTTGCATAAATAAATCTTAAAACAACAACAACAACAACAACAAAAAAAAAAACAGACCTCCAAAAGTTCTAAGTAATTACCTCACAGTCACCACTCTCTTTATATACATATGTATAAATATATAGAAAGGCATGTAGAAGGGTATACAATAGATATACAATAGGGTATACAATGTAATGTTAATAGTGATTATTTCCAGGCTAAAGGAAAACATGTAATTTTAATCCCCTGAATTTCATTATGGTCTCCCTCTTTTTGTAATAATAAAGTAGATCACCCACTGTCATTTTACAAGATGAAATGACAATACAATTTCATAAATTTAAAAGCAAAGAGGAATCAAGAAGGCCTGTTTTCTCAAATGTAGCTGGGCGAGACTGTGATCACATCAAAATTAATTGTCTCCAGTGATGTTCCTTGAAATGGATCAAAATGGATCATATACCAAATAGAAACCAACAACAGACTACAGCTTTAAATAATCCCTCACATTTTCTGTGTTATTTTTACTCTCAAAAAATTGAAAGACCAGTTCCTTCAATTCTATCCATCACAGAAGGCTTCCTTGCATATCTATTCAATCGCTTGGAAATTAGAAGTAGACATTTTCTGTTTGCTCAGTGTTAAGGACTTTATAGTAAAAAGGAGCCTGCTAAAGAACATAGGACCTACTCAAGTGTGACTATGTTATTTTCATGTTATCATTGATTTAAAGACTGGACAGCTGAAGTTTTAGGATCTCCAGCCATACAAAACAGGCTGCATGACTGCCTTTCCATCCACACCTTTTTCCATATGAAAAACTTTTAATACCACCTAACAGAATTGTTTGTCCTGCAGGTACAAGGAAACGTAGATATTCTCATTGTGGCTTCACTTTTTATTGAGCTAAAGTATTTCAAAGCTGTTGAAAACAGTTCAAATTTTTAAAAAAGTATTTATTTACTTGTGCATACAGACCTGGGGTACAGGCCAGAGGCTCAGGGGCAGCGAGAGGCTTCACCAGAGACAGAGTGGGGAGCAGAATAGGCAGATCGACGAAGTACACTGCTGAGGGGAGCAGCGGGCAGGTCAGGAGAGGTCTGCCATGCCATGTGGTCACTTCCAGGGCAGGAGGGAATTGAACTCATGCGGAAGAGGCTTTAGCTTCTCAGTGCTATGCTTCAACCCGCTGCGCCACCAGGGAGAGCCGCTAATTTTTTTTTTTAACAGTTCTAATTTTTTAATGACTTAGAATGAAGTACACTAAAACTAAATAAATTCATAGTGGTTAATTATTAAGATACACTTCATGGCTACTACCTTGGAGAGTTACACTGATGCTTAAATTTCACTAAGCAGTGACCTCTACTGACATCTTGTCTTTATCACCTGATGATGGCCTCTGAGGTCATGAATGAGTTGAAAGAGGCTCCTAAGGAGTACCTAAAAACAACTACAGTCAAGAGCAGGATCCTATACACTACTGGGCACTATGATGCAGTGAAGCCAATGACAAGTTTTGAGATGAGTGAAGCCTCTTCAAGCAAGTTACTAGGCTTTCTAGGCAGAACTTAGTTTCTTCAACTGTAAAATAGTACTGTTGAAAATCAAATAAGGTTAATTCACATAAAATGCTTAGCACAGTATTTGGAGCACAGTATCATTTACAGATGGGGAACACAAACTTCTGAGATAGTGATGTGCTCTTTTCATCTCTAATGTGGAATTCGTATGTTACAGAAGACTCCTTTCCTATACAAATACACTGGCTAAGAGAATTTTAATTTGTCTGCATCCCTTCCTGTTTTTTCACTCTATTTTTCTTTATTACACACATGGGAAAAAGAGGAGCAGCTCAAGTTAATTACTAAGGGAAATCTACTATTTCCCAGGATTATATGTGACTTTCATTCACCCTTTCACCTAATGTGCAAAGACAAGTGGCTAAAGTCACACAGTGGATGCCAGATGAGAAGCTCAAAGCTAATTTAATTATGAAACAACTGATTTTTTAAAAAAGCTTAAGCTTGCACTTCACATTTGCCTAGTCCTCTAGATATATTGTTCAACTCTCAACACAATCCAGTAATGCCATTTAGCTCTCAAGACAATCATGTGAATAAGGTATTATCCCTTTCTTACGGCTCAGAACAGGAGCACAGCAAGGTTAAATATTTCTAAGGTCACAAAGCTTGACAGTAACTAGCAAAAGTCAAACAATGACATTTTTGAGTCTATGGTCAAGATTCCTCATGAAGGCCAAGTTCTACCCTGGCTAGCTACAACACTGTCTTCTTACTCCAAATTCTTGGCATGAAGCAGGGTGCTCAGCATATAAAGCAGTCAGATGTGGGGGTAACTGACATTTTTCATATGGGCTCAAATTTCCAGACATCTCTGACCACTGTCAGTTTCATAGTGACTTTTAAGTCACGAGTTGTAAGCCTGGCCTCCCTGACTGTTCATGTGAGCTCAACAGGTATTTGAGAGAGTTCAAGTAAACATTTGTTGTATAAATGAATCATGGCACATTCTTCCTCTAGTGATGGCAATGGTACAACTCTGCCGCCACCAAATAATAATTTAGCAAAGAGAAGCATTTATTAACAACATCCACCCCTGCTCCATGACCCACCACAGAGAAGCCCACAGGACTATCCCAATCCACAAATTCTGTGATTTCATTGGTTACAGTCATCTCCTCTCATTCTCAAGTACCAACTATGGACATAAAGCTGGGGATCACCAGTACAGAACCACCAGTGTTCCTGATCTGTACCGTCCTTCTAGGAGAATCTGTGGCACAGACAAGTCCACAATTCCCAGAGGGAACTATGATGATGAGGCTGAGCTAAGTCACAGTGGAATTGTTGCTTGTCAAGGCCCCTGTGTCATTTAAAAAAAAAAAAAAGGCTATATTAAGAGAACTATGCAAACTTTTATGTTCTCAAGAATACACTGCTGTTTGGTGTTTGGATTCTTTTTTTTTTAACTTCAAGTTTGTTTTGTTATGAGCAGCCAGGCAAGTTTTGACTCTACCATGGAAACTATCTGACCTCTTCTGAGCTGTTCCATGCACAGGAAAGGGCAGTGGGCGGAGCTGGCCTGAGCGGAGCCCCAGGCTCTCCTAGTTGCAAGACTTGCGCATGTCCACTTAATCTATCTGAACTGGCTCCCACATCCTGATTACCTCTTTCAGAGCTGTTGCAGCAGAGTTACAAAATCTTTTGAGCTCTCAGTAAAGAATTGAAAGGATAAAAGAATTGCCAATATTACACTTCCCCTGCGCGAATTTTCAGAGTATTTGAAATATGAGGCAGACAAATTCACTGAAATAAGTTAGTCTAGATATTCTTTTCTAAATCAAGGTATCTAAGAAATTCTCTTTTCTGATGCCCTAAACAAGAGAAATTACAGAGAAATATTAAGGCACACAAATGTTAGAACTCCACAAATAGCCACATTAAAGTTATTTTATCCATTCATGACCACTATCACATTTATTAAATGTTACACACATGCACCATGCTACATGTGTGAACGATCCAGTACTATCCTAAAGCCCATACATCCTCTTGTACTGTAACAGCACCGTAAGATGAAACTTTTGTTTAGACTTCCTTTCCAAATAAGCAAATACTTCACTTTTCCCCTAAGACATGAAAGAAGAAAATTTTTTTCCCCATTATGATATCTAGTTTCAGAGAAAAATTTATTTTAGAACACACCAGGGGAGAAACTGTTATCTCTAAGTTTCTACTGTCAAGCAGCTGCTTTCCTAACAGCAAATGAGCTACAGAATGACTAACTTCCAATGCTCTGATTAAATCTGACATAAGCATGACATGAGGGGAGAAAGGAGCCCATGTACCCTTGGGTCTCAGTTACAGGGAAAGCAGGAAGAAGAGAAAGATCATGTGATTTGGAAAGAAGAATAAGGAGGACAGGACAGAAATATTCCATCGAACAGCAAGTCACTTGGGATTCCTTCAATGCCCTGCTAGGTTAAATGACACATGGCTTGTGTGCTGACAGGAAGTATAAAGGCCTATCTCATGTTTCACTTATACTACTGCTTGAGCATGAGAAACAGAATTGATACATCTTTTTCACATAGTTTATTAAAAGGAAAAATGGCAGCTTGGACATTTAAGGCAATAAGCTAATTAGGTAGTGGTAAAAGACCTGTTCAGCAATTAATCACTAGTGTCCTTAACAAATTAATTTAAAACAGGAAGATCCAGCTGTCCTTAATGCTTTACTGGTTCTAGTTAGATGATTGTTCAACTATATAAATTCTTTGGATATATTTCCTTTCCCCTCTAGATTTATAGTTAAACTGTTCACAAAAACAGAACAAACTTAAGATCTGCCTCATTTACTAAAGCCACAGGACTGTTATTTTTAACAAATGAAGTGAAGGGAGTCCTGAGAACCAAGTCTCCTCTCCAGGCCTAGGGCTTAAAAGGGTTTATGCCCCAAGGCAAATACTGTTAATAAGGTCAACAACACAATAAGGAAATCTATAGCACTTCAAGTGAAATTTTGTACTTAAGGTTCTGATCAAGCCAAAACATCTTTCAAGGCAGCGAATCACAAACAAGATTGCTGTATTTGGAATTCAGTAAGAAAAGTCAGCCTCTTCACAGGAATGAGAAATGACAGCCAGCTCTATGTCCATGGTGTAATCTAACATGCAACATGCAAGCGCTTCTTATTCATATTTTTCCCTTCAAAATTAAAAATAGATCAACTTACATGGCTCTCTGGCAATGAACTGAGGTACAGTGTTGGGCAGAGGAGTACTGGGGTTTGGAGTCCCTACTAGTTTGTTCTTGGCCATCTTCGTGTTTGCCTTAGCAAACTCTAGTCGTAGTGTTTGCGGAATTTCAGGATCGAAGCGGATGCCCTTTGGAAATAAAGAACAAATGGAAGATGTTTTCATTTCCTTAGAGTCAAACCGGAATGGTGACAAAATAAACACACCATTAAGTCCTGGCCTGTTAGAAAAAAAGGTCAGCAAATGCTTTCATTCTCACTCCTTACACAGACTACAGAGATGCATAACACACCATGTTCAGAAAGCCAGGGAGATTTAGTTTATGTAGTTGAAAAACTTAGTTACATGAGTCTGTCAGAAAGTGAAAAGACAGTTAATGGACGGCTTCCCTCATGTGAGGAATATGAATAGTCAAGTAAAACAAATGGGCAGAACACAAAAATAATTCTTACACTGAAACTCATACTAATTCCCAGAGAGGAAGGAGAGGGAAGGTGACAGGGCCTTGGTACTCCAGTTCTGGCAGCAGGTAAGTGAAGCTCGTGCAGATCGGGGGTGCGTAGCTGTCCTCCCCGTATCAGTTACATGGAAAAATGGATAGAATTTGGGTATGAAAGAGTTACATGGTTTTCCAATGATCCTTTTCCTTCCTGTACAAAAACTTTCAAGTTCAAGGTTTAGATAAGGACTAGCTAATGTCTAGCATGGTTAGAAACTTCAGCTATCGGTGGCCACTAAGAATGAAAGAATTAATGTAAAGCCCTCTGTAATACTGAAAACTCTTATGAGGCCTAGATCTTGACCAGTGTTCTGAGAATGACTTAAAGCAATATGTAATTTTCAATGGCTTGGCTTCATCACTTTCAGAGGGGAAGAACTCTCATCCCTTTCTAACTGAAGAGCTTTCAACCATGGATACATGCACCGAATTACTACAAAGACAGGAGAAGTTTAAGACTTTTAAATGTAATTAGCATCATTTACTTGTAGTTGACAAATTGACATTAATTCTGAATGTCTCACTGTGGTACAATATGATTTTTTTTTTCCTGAGCTTGCTCATTTGCTACATGGAGAGAGAAAACCAATTATATTGGCCAATTAAGACTGTCATTTGAATTACCTTTGAATGGTTTACCTGTAACAAAACATCCTGTAAATCATACACTCAGATTCAAGATTTATGGCAAGATAAACCTTCTGAAAGCCTCCCTCCCATTCAAGAATGTCTGTTACAAATCATAATGAGTAATTTCATGATGATCTCTTTCCAAAGGCCATGGACTCTGGATCTCAACAATAGTGCCAGACATATCCCAGTATTGTGCATAATGTCTATCTCAAGCAGCCTCAGGCCCATGTCTGTCAGAATAATGTAGTCTAGAAAGGGATTAGTTTTGAAAAAGAGTCTGCTAAAAGCACAGGTTTTCCATTCAGTACACATGTGGGTCCCATAAACCCATTCTTTAGTTTGAAGGAAATTAAGAGCAATTTCTGTTAAGAAATTAATAAGACTGAATCTGTAGACCAGAATGAATGACTTTGAACTGAACTTCACAGGCTCAACTCCAAAGATAGGAGAGGAAGAGGCTGTGATTGGAGAGTAATGACAATAAGAGAAATGAGGGGAGAAAAGGGAAGGAAAGAGCAGGCCTGAGGGAGATAAAACAAAAGCACAGAGCCCTGACCCACAAATGCCCTGGAGTGGGTGGAAATTTTTCTGTGTGCGACTTATCCATTTTCTGAGAAGAAACCAATCCGAGATGGTAAACAGGTGGGGTGGGCAGGAAGAAAAGGAATCCATTTCAGTTAAATGAAATGTATAAGAAATTTTGCCTGTAACTGGTCTCAGTTTTTGTTTTAATTTAGGAAACCTCAGCATTATCTTGCCAAAAAAACATAGAAGGAAAGAGAACAAAGCAGTATTCTGGCCATCCGCTTCCACTTAGGAGCATTTCACCCTATCAAAGTTAGTATCACAAGAGAATAAATATTTCCAAATAAGGGCCTGAAGAGCTATGGTCTTTGCTGGGAGGCCAATACAATCTGCCTGTCACTTAAGGTATGCTGTGGACTGGTTGCAACTTCACACCTTATCCCAAGTAACTCCTTGCCATCAATTTCAGAGGAAGTGTTTCCTCCCTCCCAAACTTGTCCCACCATCCTGTGAGATAATCACTTTCCTAAATTTGACCTCACTTAGCATGAGCAGTATAGTATCGCCCAGAAAACAGTCACACCAAAGAGCTCTCCAGAAATGGAGCATGAGGCTTCCATAGTGAGCACAGGGAGGCTGCACCTCTGTGTCCAGACCTCAACCGGTGCACTGTGCTGCAGTAAGCCCAGTTCTACAGCTGGGGCTGGGCAAGTGGCTCACACCCTAAATATGTTGAACTAGTACTCCCTCATGCCCCGCCTCTCTTCTGTTTGAGCTAAAATACCATCACCAACATCATGTTCCAAATCAAAGCTCCAGCTCTTTATTTAAAAAAAAAAAAAATTAAAAAAAAAAAAAAAAAGAGCTCAGAAGTTAAAATGACCTAATTTGTTTGGCAGCTTATTCTGAGGCTGGAGGCTTACAATATGAGCCACATTCCTCTAACATCTTTAGCAGCAGTACCATATTTGGTAATCAATATCCTCCTCAGCTAAGTTTCTATCCATAGGGCTTAAAGAGAGCCAAAGACATCTGAAATGTCAGAGAAGGAAGAAAAGGAGGCACCAGGGGTAGAATGGGAAAGAAAGAAAAGAAAAAAGTGAACCAGGAAACATGAAAAAATAAACCTTGTGCTCATAACACCTAGTAAGATTCTTTGGCCACAGTAACCACATTAAACACTGGTCGGGATAGATTACTGTCCAATAGAAGGGGAAATCAGTGATTTCAAAAACCATCTTTCCCTTTCCTGCCTGTAATTCACTAAAACCCTTGCAAACAGAAACCTTTCTCTTCCAAATGCAAATTGTGTCATATTTTCTGAGCATGAGTGTATCATTTTACTTATAAGCAACCCAAATCAACTGGCTACAGGACTGTCTCCTTAAGATGGCCTCAAATCAACAAAGTGCTCACTATTTTCCAGACAGGCTGAACTCCCCATCTAAGGCTGCTCTAGAAGATGTAGACAATGTTAAGACACACACACACACACAGAGGCAGTTTTGAATCTATATGCTTATATGTTAAGAGTCAAATGTCCCAAAAGTTGTATGCTTGATTCCTGAGCCCCCATGATAGCATTTGGACGAGGGGTTTTCAAGAGCACATTAGATTTATGTGAGGTAATGGTGGGCTTTACTACTTGTGATGGGGCTACTGCTCCCGTAAGAGCACCAGAGATTTCATTCTGCAGTATACCAAAAAAAGGCAACGTGACAGAGACAGCACCAAGGCACTGTCTGCAAGCTAGGAAGGAGGCAACTTGATGTTGGCCTATTGAGCCTCCAGAATGAGATAATTGTCTGCTGTTTAAGCCATTCAATCTATGGTATTTTGTTATAGCAGCCTGAATTAAGACACCAATGCTAGTAGTGCAGGTTTTTTCCTGTGCCACAGTTCCTAAAATGTCCCACAGTATACTTTCTAATTCTTCTTCTGTGGACTTACATAGTAAAATCTCCCCTTCTCCACCAGACCCATCATCCAAACCCCAATCATTCTTACTCACTGCAGGGAGCTCAACCCTTAGTTGGCATATGTGACCACCAAAAGTACTAATAATTCAATCTGAAACATTACAGAGAACAATCAGAGATGGGGGGGGGGGAGGAGAGAAGGCCCTCGCTGGGGGGAATACATTAAATATTATCAATCTTAACTTAGAGAAAGTCACTTAATACAGTCCAGACTATGTAGAGAAATTGTTTAAAAATCCTCTCTTTATCCTATCTCTTAAATGGAAGTAAGGCAAAATCATTATTTGCAAGCTGAGAAGGTTAAAAGTATTAATTTTCGGCCCTCCCTGGTGGCGCACTGGGTTAAAGCACAGCACTGAGAATCTAAAGCCGCTTCGGCATGAGTTTGATTCCCGCCTGCCCCGGAGGTGACCACATGGTGTGGCAGACCTCTCCTGACCCACCCGCTGCTCCCCTCAGCAGTGTACTTCGTCAATCTGCCTGTTCTGCTTCCCGCTCTGTCTCTGGTGAAGCCTCTCACCGCTCCTGAGCCTCTGGCCTGTACCCCAGTTCTGTATGCACAAATAAATAAATCTTTAAAAAAAAAAAAGAAAAAGGATTAATTTTCTAAGTTGTGAGCATTAGCAAATGTAAAATTTTGTTACCTATGTTAGAGAGTCTAAGCAAGTTAGAAAACATTAAAATGCCATTTTATTCTATCAAACTTTGGGAGTATTAAAAGAATAAGTGAATAACTACCATAAAATAAAGCAAAATAAATGGACAATTGAAAGGAAATTACTAAATCCCAAAGATCCTGATCTACAAGAACTGAGAAAGTCACTGTAACTATAGCTATTTCAGTAACTTTCTGGAAGACAAAATAGAGTAACTATAAATTGAAGAAATATTGTTGTGATACTGGTTTCTTGTGAACACTAGCTATGTGCTGGAATGGCTGAATGGTTACAAATCATGAGTTTGAGATCACATGAGGAAACTGGACCATTCTGAACAAGAAGGCACATCTTTCCAACTGTTCTTCAGTAATGTGACAGATACTGGATTGTTATAGCACATTGGTGGAGATAAATACTAGCCAGCATTTTATTCACTGAATAATGAAAGTGGGAGGAAAGGAGAAATAAGAGCTAGTCTACAATACTTAAAATATCCTAAAGACGTATGCTCTTGTGTAATGGGTAGACCATGATTAAACAAAGGAATGTAAAAGCCATCAGAGAAAATGGGGAAAGCTGAATATAGATTGGATATTTATTGGTATTTGGACACTGTCCCTTTTTTTAAGGTGTGACAGCAGCTATTATGGTAATGTAGTTTTTACTATAGAAATACAGAACATATATGATGACATAATACACCATGTATTTAAAATACTTAAGCACAATAGATAAAGTAAATGCAGGTACATCCTGGGGGTGGGTGCATGACTGTTCACTACTTCACTTTTTGGTATGCCAGAAGTTTCACAATACAAGGTAAAAATGTTAACA